AAAAAAAAAAAGTTATATGGAAAAAATAGTGATAAAAATTTAAATGGAAAGATTGACGATAAGACAGCAAAAAAAAAAAATTGTCAATTAGATTGGTAATATTTTTGTTGATTAAAAGGAAAAAAAGTTGAGAGAGAAATTTTTTCTGTTTAGTTCAATGAACTATTGAAGTGAAATTGAGGGAGAAAAAGGTGAAATAAAAAATTGAGAAAAAACTATCAAAATGAGGATTCTTTTGAATTTACTTCACATTTTTCTCTCCGACGATAAGAAACTACTGTCATTTGATATCTTCGTTTGCATTCCTTTCTATCTGCTGAATTTTTTCTGATTGGTATATCGGGTTCACTTTTGCCCCAATTTTTCTTCATCTGCAGTAGTTTTTCTTTTTTTTGTCGTGTTTTTTCTTGGTTATTTTAAATATTTTTTTGTGTTTTTTCTTCTTCTTCTCTTTTGCTGCTAGAAAAAGTTGTTAATCAGCGGAATTTTTGTTCTTGACCATTTTTCAAATCTACAAAAAAAAGCAAAGGAAAAAGGTTGAACAGATGACGTAAAGGGAGTGGAAGGAACTGAGAAAAGTGGAATTAGAAACGAACAGAAAAAATATTTCGTATTTTTCTCACTTATAATTTAATTCATTTTCATTCGGGTAAAATTTTTTCTAAAAAATAAAGCAGTTTTTTAGTTTTTTGCAAAAGAAAAAAGAAGATTAAAAGACATAAAAAAAGTCACTACCTCTTTCGAAATTTTGCTGGATCTCAATGATTTTCGATTTGTAACAGAGAGAAAAGATTAAAAGTCGTTTTTTTTCGGTTTTTATTTTTATTCAAATTTTTTGATCAAATAATTTCTACATAATGGACAGCTTTTCAGAAGCACTCCTGTCTGAATTGCAACATACAACAGAAGTGTTAAAACGGGCAAATCTTGCCGATCGTTCACCAAATGTTCCTGATTTGGAACCATGTTATCAGGAACAAACCAGAAGGTTGTCAGTTTTTATCTGCAAATCTATCTATGTATTTTAGCACTAGCTTAGTTAAAGAAAAAGTAAAGTTGGTCAGTCACTGATCGCTAACCAAGGCTAGATTTTTTTGTAGGCCGCCATCTCGTCATGGACTGGATAGTTTAGAGCATATGCTTGATGATTATACAGAAAAACGAAAAGAATATACAGGTAAGTATTGAGGATTTATTGTACTACTTAAGTGTACATGTGACAGTGCTTTTCAAAGATTACTGTCGTCGTCGTCATCGTCAGTCATTGGTTTCTGTTTTCTTTTAGATTATTGCACTTTCACTTGATAGAGTAGAGTGGAAAAGAGAATGAGGTAAGCAAAAGACGAGGAAAGAAATTAGCGGAAAAAAACGAAAAGAGAGTGAATTTTTTTTAGTTTTATTTTTTGCTCAAAAGTGATTAAAATGTTGATTATATAAGTTGATCTCATTTTTGTTTTGTTTTTTTTTTGTTGCTATTTCTGTTCATACAGTAGGGGTGTTGTTTACTGTAAAAAAGTTACAATTTTGCTTAATATCTGTTGTGCACTAAGTAAGTGGATAAGGCACAAAAAGGAGAGACTTATAACTAAGTGATTTAAATGAAAATTAATTGATTAACTGACTGACTGACTGACTGGCTGGATAGACTTCGTGACTTGATATGCACTGTGGATGATTATAATAAGTTTTTTTAGAGGAACGTGCTACAACGCCATCTTTTGGAAGCAACCAAAAAGCTCGGCCTACAGTGCATAGCTTGTTCAATGAACTGGAACAAAACAGGTAGCTTTTGCTGAATTTTTTGTGCATTCAATGTTTACTCAGCATAAAAATATTCTTTTTTTTTCTCTGTTACCTACGTAAAAAAGTGAGCTTTCTTCTGGTTTTACTGACATAAAAGTTTAGTTTTTCTTCACTTATTTTCTTTTTTTTTCTTATTAGCTAATTTTTTATACTTTTCTTAATTTCTTTTTCTAAATTTTTTGAAAATTTTGCCATCTTATGCTTGTTTACTTTAAATATTGCTTTGATAACAAGTACTTAGGTGATAAAAAGTAAGAAAAAGGCAAAGGTTTGTTTTTTACAAAAAAGGAATATCCATTTTTTAAAAAAATACTAAAAACAATATTTACTTTTTTGTAAGTAATGTGGGTGAAAAAAAAAGTCATAAGTTGATTTGGGTTGCACAAAACTCAAAAACCAGATGTATTTTAAGCTATATTTGATCTTATTCAGGTCATCTTTTATTTTTGCATTATAACGCTTTATTTCTTATGTGTTCCCTTGTCGTCATCGTCTTCATCATCATCACCGTCATCATCATCTTCTTAATCTTTTTCTTTCTCAGCTTTTTGTCTGTCGTTTAGCACTAAAAATATTTAAGAAAACGACAATAGCGGGAAAAAGCATCAGCATTGAAAGCAACAAGTTTATTGCTGGCCTATGCCCAAGTGTATGGCTTTTAACTGAGCTTTTATGAGCGCTCTATAAACTATGCACTAACAGTTCAATGAGCTTTTTTCAATAGAGTTCGAAGGAGGGAGAAAAAAAAGTAGATGAAGAGAAGAAAATCTAGTTTTGTTTGTATGCTAGACACTGCTGCTGCTGCTGCTGCTGTTGTTGTTATTGTTATTGTTGCCGCCTTCTATTTACATAGTTTTTCAAATTATCCAACGCATACACCCACACTTACTTAGTTTCCACTTTTCTATTCTTAAGTTTTTTGTTGACCTTAGGCTTTAAAGTTTCTATTTAAATACAACAAAAAAAAAAGTTTTTTGTTCTTTATCTACGTTTACTTAAGAGCACTTAGACGTTTGGTGGTTAACTGTGAGTAGCAAAAAAAAAATTTTTTTTCAAGTGAATCTGAAAAGTTCACCGCACTTAGCTGGTTAAGCAATAACTTTTATTCGGCAGATAAGCATTGTCTGAACTTGATTAGTTGTGGAACTCTGATTTACATTAATCTGCTAAACAAGCCGTGTGTTTCGGTGTGACTTTACTAATTTTGTCGACTTTGCTCTAATTTAGTCAGTCATAGTTTTCGACTGGGAAAAATAAAAGAAGAAGGAGGAAAAAACCTTCCTTAATTCATTTATTTCATTCTCTTTGTCCTCAGATACTTTTCAAAATAAATTTATAAACTGATCTGCAAAAATGATGTATGAATTACAACAACGATTAGATCATTACAGCTACAGGAAGAGTCCTGGTGACCGTTCGTATGGCAATGGATCAAACTACGATCTAGTAAGCTTCTTAATTTCCTATTTTCCTTTTTTACTGAGATGTTTATAGGCTTATTTTGTATTAATACTTTGCTGACTGAACGAATAATTTTTTTTTTTACGTATTTGAACAATCTGATACTGTAAAAAGAAGACGGTTGCTTATCCCTCTCGATTGCAGTAATTTGCTAGATTAAATGCTGATTGGTTTATGAACTTTAAATATGCAAAAATAATCGGAATTTTCGGAGAGAATTTGTAAGTAGCGAATCTAAATAATTTTTTCGAACGGGTGTGCAGTGAAAAATATAAAATGGCAACGGTGAAAAAATTCGTATGGATGTGTCGAAGAAAAAATAGTGGTGAAGAGCGAGAAGGAGTAGGAGTGGGAGTGTTTTTGTGCAAATTTTAATCTCATCATTAGGTTTTTAGACAGTTTTTTGTTATTGCTGATGCAAATTTCGCTGCCATAGCTGGTAATAACAAAATAATTAAACGGTATTGTGCAAATTTCAAATATGCATGGTTTAAAAAGGCATAAAAAAGGTAATGAAGTGGAAAAATACAGATGTGTTAAGTACTTTCTGGATTTAGGTTTACACTGAGAATACTTAGATTTTGTCTGCAGTTATCGTTATCGCCTTGAGTTGTAATAAGAAAAGTTCTTGATAAGGGGAAAAATCGGTTTATGATTTGTGTTTAAGAAACTACACGAAGTAAACAAAAATTTTTTAAGGCCAAGAAGAAGGAAAAATGGCGGAAAAGAAAGTGAGGGAAATACGAAAATTTTTGTTCGTTACATGATTGGAACCACTTATAAACAATTTCTTATCATTATTATCAGTTTTTTTGCAGCAAAAATCTCCGTCTGGAGACCCATCACAGTTGGATTCAATGCTTGGCACGCTACAAAGCGACATGTCAAAGCACGGAATCAGTACGATTCCAAAAGGTGATTGTGCGGCGTGCGGTAAATCAATTGTAGGTCAAGTAAGTTTTCAATTTCAATGCATATTATTCTGAAATGTTGTTCACTTGGCAGATGGTACGTGATACCTGAACTTCTGTGTTTTTCTTTCTTCTTGTTTGAACACTGTTAAAATGAGTCATGAAGAGGTCAATTTTTGCGGACGGTGGTGCTAATCTGTTGGCAAGTATAGCTAACATCTTGATTATAGCGAGAAGTTGTGATGGTCAGTTTAGGTGGTAATAGCGTTAGGAAAAATGTGGCATCCCGAGCATTATGTATGCTGTCAGTGCGGTGAAGAGCTAGGACATCGAAATTTCTTCGAGCGATCAGGAAAAGCGTACTGTGAAAACGATTATCATGATATGTTTTCACCTCGTTGTGCCTACTGTAATGGACCAATTAAAGATGTTTGTTGTGCTGTTTCTTTTGCTACTGTTATTTCATTACGCATTTCAAGCTTGTGAAATACAAAACTTCATTTCGATAAGACTCTCTTGGGTGTTTTTTTGGGATATGTATAGTTTAAAGAGGTACAAAATTAAAGTGACAGGCTAAGTAGAAATTTGTTGGTAAAATTGTTTCGTTTCGTATTTAGAGGTGTGTGACGGCTTTGGGTAAAACGTTTCATGCTGAACATTTTATTTGCGCTGAATGTGGACGGGAATTCGGTAATGAAGGCTTTCATGAAAAGGTAACTGCTGTTTGATAGTTTCATTTAAGGGTATAGTTTTGAGCTTTTACTATTTGCTGAAGGGAATTGTACAGTAATTACATATGATATAATGTGTATAGAAGTTGGAAAAAAATTATTTAGGTTATACTGCCATTTTATTGTCCTCATGAAAGACAGAGGCTTTTACTATTTTTTCAATGAAACAGAGAGGATATTGTATAATTACTAATTGCTCCTTTTTTTTTTTTTTTTTTTTTTTTTTTTTTTTTT